TCAGGCATTGCCAAGTTTTCGCGATACGTGGGGCCCTCTGTGAGTGAGGGGAGGTGGGGTCGCTGCGCGTGCTGGACATCAGAACCTAGTGTCTCGTGGGCGAAAAACAGATCCGTATCCGTGGCCTCGGGGCCGTACCCTTGGGCCGCGACCCCGCGGATACGGGCCGTTTTTTCCGCAGATGCCACGCGCGGGATGTATCCGTGCGACCGCGTATCTGCGGGATCGCGCCCCGGAGTCCAGACCGCGAGGTCGCGGACACGGATATTTTGGCCGCTCTTGAGTGTCTCGGCGCACCTGGGAAGAGCAGCGCGAGTGATGACGACCACACCACAAGTTGGCAGCAGGGGCGGGAAGCAGAACGAGGTGGAGGAGTGTGCGCGAGTCGGTCCAGCGCCGTGCTCCTCCGATCCGCGGCCCATCCGAGGCCGTGCCCGGGCGCCGTCCCCGCCCCTGCCGCGCACGCGGCCCCGCCCGCAGCTTGCTCTGGTGCGCTTGTGGGCCCAGGGGCCTCCTCGTCGGTGGTTTAAAAAGATGGGGGGTCCTCCGGGAGGGGGTCCTGAGGACAGGAGGGGAGCCACGGGTGGAGGGTGGATCTGCCTCGTGCGAGGGACCTCGCCCTCAGGACCCCCTCCCTCAGGACGCCGTCATTGAACCACCGATCTTGACCTCGGCGGCAAGCCCGGGGGAGAAATGAGAAGGGGCGGGCATTCTCAGAAGGCTCGGAAGCCCCCCAGGCCCTCTAGGAAGTTTTCCGAGCCTTCTGCCTTCTCCGAAGACAACAAAAACTCCACAGACGGCGGGAGGGCTTCTGAGAAGACCCGCTGCCTTCTAAGAAGGCCTTCTCCTTCTCGCTCCCACTCCCCTCGCTCGCCGCCGATGGACCCCCTGGGGGAGGCCATGGACCGCGAGCCGGCGCGGCCGCCCGAGCAGGAGCAGCGGCGCCTGCCGGCGACGCTGGAGGAGCTGCTCGCCGCCGACCCCTCCGCCCTGGCGCGCGGGCGGCAGCTGCGCCTCCGGGGCACGGTGCTCAGCCGCCGCGTGCTGGCCCGCAGCCTCGCGTTCTGCACCCTCGGCCGGCTCGAGGCCCACGCGGAGCCCGGGTGCTCCTGGACCGAGGGGCCGCCGCCCAGGTGGAGGGTCTCTCCGAAGGGCTCAGGCGACCCGTCTTCCGCCTCCGCCTCCTCCTCCTCCGCCTCCGCCTCCGCCTCCTCCTCCTCCTCCTCCTCCTCCTCCTCCTCCTCCTCCTCCTCCTCCTCTTCGGGTCGCCTACGGCCCCGGGTGAAACCGTGCACGCCCAGGCAGAGCCTCCTGGCGCGCGGCTGGGTGCCGCCGGAGCCAGGCGCGGACGGCGGCGCCGTCGAGGGGCAGGAGGGCGCCCCTGCCTCCGCGTGCGCCACGCTGGCCGTGTGCTTCGCGGCTGCCCTGGTGGACACCAGCGGGGAGCACGCCGCCGAGGAGGAGGAGGGCCCAGAGCACCGGCCAGAGCCTCACACGGAGGGCGCCAGCGAGGGGACCAGCTCAGGGGCGCCGACAGGGGGGGAGTGGCTCAGGGGAGGCGGGTCGACCCGCGACCGCGCACAGGCGTCGCCGATCGGGGCCCCCGACCGGGTACCCCACCCTGCCCAGGAGCGTGCGGTGTCGCCACCGAGGGCCTCTTGCCGACGAATCGGCGACGCAGAGCCAATCCATGGCTTAGGTGTTCGATTATGGATCCCGTGTTGAACGCAGCCATCCAGCTTTCGTGCCGAAGACCGCTGGAAACCGCCAAAGACCGCCGGAGACCGCTGAAGACCGTCAGAAGACCGCCGAAGACCGTCAGAAGAAAGCCGAAGACCGCCAGAAGTCCGCCCGAAGACCACCGAAGACGGCCCAGGAGCAATGGGCAACGAGGGGTCCATGGTCGAACACGCAGCAGGCCACTGCCCCCCCCGCCCCAGGAGCCAGCGCTCCCCCTTTCGTCCCCCTCTCGCCAGCCCGTGGGCGCCCTTCCCAGGGCGCAGGGGCGACCTGCCCGTGGGGACCAGGGTGGAGGTGAGCGACAGAAGAAAGCGGGGTCGACTGCGCCGACGTTCGCGCGCAAGTCGGCGGCGAGCGAGGGGGGGGGGAGTGAGACGGGGCGGGCCTTTTCAGAGGGCTCGGAAGTCGCTGCAGAACACTGCTCAGACGGCGCGAGGGCTCCTAAAAGCTCCGCCGCCTTCTGAGAAGGCCTTCGCCTTCTTACTTCCCCCCCTTGCTCGCCGCCGAGCGTCGGGGCTCCAGAGACGGGGGTCTGCAAACGGGGGCCAGCCAGAGCGTCTGATCCTGCGGGATCCAGCAGAGCATGTAAGACATTTGGGACAACTTCCCAGAAATGTCTTTAAATCAACCTGGGCAAGAATTCGTTGTTAACCCTGGAGGGGCGAGCGTGCTCAAGAAACTGGGCCAGCCTTCCATCAAGCTGGTCAAGAAACGCTGACCCAGCTTTTCGGGAGAGAGGAGGTTTCTTGATCAGATTCTC